ATGCCTTTTAGAGTAATCTTTTTTGTGGGGAGGAAGAGGGGGTTTTATTCTCCCCAGCTGAATGAACAGTTACTGCTTCATCTCACTTAAAGACACTATCTGAATTTGATGCTATCTCTGCTTTTAATACAAAATTGCAAGTTCTTAAAAATTCCTTTTATATTTTCAGACTTCAGTGGTTGTTAGAGAAGTTGGGAGCTGTTATTCCGCACAGTACAAACCTCTTGAAAATGCAAAGTGCAAAAATTTGGAGCTGGCTAGGTTAGCTGCTGTATGGTTAACAGATGATTTCATTTAAACTTGAATTTCACATTTCTAGAAGCCAGGTCTACCACTATGGTGAAAGAAACACATAATCATCAACTAGTCTGTATCTCTGGTGGAAAATGCAGTTTTCTGATGGCTGGCCCTGTGGACTTTATTCTGTGCCTTATCCTTTCTTTGTGGGAATGACTCAGGTGTCTAAAATGTCACCTGTGAAATCCTGCAAGCACAGAGTACTTAGTTTTTCTCCTTACCTGTTCCTGCATCTAGAGTTATCATCCTCCTGCACAGACTTCGTTCCTGTAGAAATTCTCTCCATTCTGAGCAATGCACAGAACCTCAACAAGCACAGATAAATGTTCCCTGTGACCTGAGCTCCTGTACTTGTCTCCTAACACAAGTGTTCTTGTACCTGCCGCTTCACGCAGGGTTTTTCATCTTGGGCATTTGTGTAAATGTCAAAATGCCACTCTGACCTATTTACAGTGAAAACATTTTGTCATCATTTGAGAAATGATGTGAACTTATTTTTTTGTTTGTTTTTCTTTTTTTCTTTTTATGGTGACAGCAGGAAGACTGCTCCTTTTGTAAACTTTTCAGTCTTTAACAGTTGCAGGGAGCACTGGTGTTACCCACCTTGATCCCTGTTCTGCAGTCCCAAGGATAGTTTGGTCTATTCCAAATACTTCTCTAATAAGGGAGGGAGGGAGAGTAGGAAGGAGGTAAAACTGGTTCTGTGTGAATCTCACAGGAGGGGTGAATATTGGATTAGGTAAAAAGTAGTAATATGAAATTGTGTGATTCATCAGTGTTAGATTTGAGATTTTTTTTTTTCTTTAAATTGGAAACTGTAAAAGAATTTGCAGGGCTGGTTATGAAGACTTAAACGCTTTACCTACAAAATGAATGAAATGCAATTCAGTCTCCATGTTCATTACTTAGATTCATTTGAATCTACCAAGACAGGAGCCAATTAGCATTACAGATAATACAAGCAAATGAGACTACCAAAGTGTTCCATGTTCATCAATGAAACATTCTGACTTCGTAATGATCTCCTGTCACTCCTAGTGATGGTGTGACTTCAGAGCTAGCTTTACACAGGTGGGAAGCTCTCTGATTCTGTTATAATCTCCCTGAAATCTCTAGCTTTCAGGTTTCTTGGCATTAATAGACTCATAAGTATGTCTAGGAATGGAAAAGTTTCAGAAAGTTTGCAGGTGGCTCATTATAACATTATTATAATGATACCTGATAGTATGAATAAAAGAGCTCTGCTTTTTCAAGATCAGAAATAATTGTTCATTTAAGCTTTAAGCATTTAAGTGTCTTACTACTAAATATATACAACTCCAATTTTCCACTTATTTTCTTTTAAAGACCTTCAAATGATCAATTATTATTTCTGTATTGAATAATTTCTACCTCTTCCTAACGATGGATGGACAACTGGGTTACCTTTTATGCTGCTAGGCTACTTCTATCCTTTGTTAAAAGTCCATTTTTACTTAACATAGCTTAGAGTGACATTCTCATTAAGTACTTCCATTCTAGTTATATCTTGTTGGCACTGTTACGACTTTTCTGTAGGGATGTAGAAGCACAATCTTTGTGTTTTGTGAATGAGCAGCTGCTCAAAACACTGCCAAAGAGCATTCTGTTGTGATCTGTTACAAGGTGACTTCTATTTTGTTAATGCACACAATATAATTTAGATGGTGGTGTATTTTGATGTTTTGAGGAGCCATGTGGAAAGCTTGTGCCACCTAAACTTATGTATCAGTATTCTTATGTTTTGCTGTTGTTTGCTTTTGTTGCTGAAAGCTGAGTTATTTAATTTTTCTCTTTCCTACTGTTTAATTATCGCTATTTCTGTTCAACATAAGTCCCGAAGTGGATTTTTTTTTTTCAGTGATAGAATGAGGACATCAGTAGCAAATGGAACAGACTTGGGCTTTTTTGCCTATGGACTTATAATAAACGGTCATATTTTTGCTATGGAAGCTGTCTATCTGGAGTTTAAAATGATATGATAAGAACCAGTAGTGCTTAATTTTCTTTAAACTATTAAACGGAAATCTGAATATGGGGAGTATCTGTGGAAGGGGCATTGTGTGAAGCACCTAGCAGCAGAGCACCTACAGATTCAGCAACTGATAGAATGTTATCTGACAACTTAAAAACCTGAGACCAAATAAAATTCTAACTTTAGATTCTTATTCCTGTGTGCTGCTTGAGCAGTCTTAGTTAAATTGTTCTGCACGTAATTCAGTGTTCCTCCTTTTAATTTTGAAGGCTTATTGCCAACGATTTACTCATGCAGTTAAAGGAAAAAAATAATTGGGCGTAGTTCTTAAGGAAGCTACGTAATTGTGCTTGCCTTTCCAGGCTTTTCAACAAATGAAAAAGAACATAATTACAGAAATACTTTTTTAGAAAAAAGAACATTTTCAAGTGATTTCTCATATGTACTTCTGTGATTTCTAATGACTGTTGTAGTAAAGTTGATACATTGCTTTCACTCTGTTTTAGCTGTTTTTAAATTTAAATATCTTTCATACTGTATCTTACCTTGTGAATTTTTGGCCTTGATTGGTCACGTCTAGCATTTTAGGCGGACATAATGTATGAAAGTTGGAAAGCAAATTTTTTAAGAGAACTATCACAATTGGTGTTTATTATAGTTACTGTGATTTCAAAGTATGTGCAATGGGCAAAGCACCAAAATGAAACCATTCCTTACAAAAACTGGAAGATGTTCAGTGAAGACCATACTTCTCCTATTAATGAAGGACCCATCACTGGATAACCATTTTTACTGTGATTGAAAGTTCAATCACAGTACTGATACTGTTTTGTCTATCATAGTATGACAAGGTATCTTAAATTTCACTATTTGAGTTAGTTTAATTACTCTTTATGTATTGGTGCCTGACTTCCTAATTAATTTTTTTAGAACTATGCAGTATGCAGTCAGAAGTAAATATCAGTGAACAACCCTCAAAATACTTGTTTTCTCTCTTAGAGGGCTATGGCTGTTATTTATATTCAATAAAGGTTAAAGCATCTCCATGTTCTGTCAGAGGACTGGAGTATGGTTAGCACTGAAAGGTACTAAGGTGGAGTTCTGTCTAAGATTTAAAAATTCTCTGCTGCATTTTAACCCATTGCTATCTATAAATTGCAATAGATAAGTATCTCCTTTTTGTAGCAGCAGCCTGTCGTGTATTTAGACAGTTATATACTTCTCTTGACTTCTCTTTCTTGTGAAACAATGCCAATTAGCTCAGTCACTTTCTTTAGGTTGCTCTTCCCAGATGTCTGTAGCTACCTAACTAGAATAAGAGAAAACATACTTGGAATATCAATCTGATGTCTCAACACACTCAACAAGTATACATTAGAATACAATTGATGCTGGAAATATGAAGTGAATGTGCAATTATTAAATATCATTGGCTTCATTGAGTTTAAATTATTCTTAGAGGGAACCTGCAGCATATCAACAGAGGTACTTATTGAAGGAAAAATAACAAAATAAAGAAAATGATTTCTCTCCATTAAGCATGCTGGAAGAGTTAAAATATTTGAAATAGCACAGAAACATTAAGTAACGTAAATACACCCATTAAAACATAAGTTTTTTCTTTAACTCACATCTCTTGTTTCTGTTTAAAAAAAATGATTGAAAAAAGACACTCAGTCAGAAAGACAAAGCTTAAAGCATTCCTGAAGCCTCCTCATTTCTTGCAAATTACTTGTAAAAAAAAAAAACAAAAAAACAAAAAAAAGACAAAACACCAGGTAGAAGCAAGGTACAAAAACCACCTTGGGGAAAAAAAGGAACAACTAATCAGTGATGCATATAGATGAAGATGAAATAAAAATGCAATACAGAAAATTCCATGTTGGCTGAGATTAGATATTGCTTTCAAAAGCTTCATAAAATTGAAGCCATTAGCTTATATTTGGATTTAAGCAGTGGAATTGGGAGGCTAAACAGTTATAAAATTGTAAATTATTCTCCGACAGGTAACTTTACACACTGTAGGAAAATGTCTCAATTTGAACTGAATGTTTGAAGAAACCTTTAAAAAATATAACAATAACAACAAAAGAGAGTAATAAAGCTGCAGAGACACGTGGACATTTGTGTCAGAGACTTGCAATTGGAAGGCAGCTGTTTTTTCTCAGAAATTTACCGTCAGGAGTTTTGTAACTTTAGTTCTACCAGTGCATTGCTGCTTCTCTTCATAGAATCTGAGTTTCTTTCTTTTGTTAGGTGTTTTCCAGTTATTGGTATTTACTGAGAAATCAAAATTACATATAAATGGTTACTAGTGCCCGCTCTGATGAAAAATCTTTTTTTCTTCTGAGAACAGGGGATAAATGAAAACTTTCAGTGTTTGCTTTTGCTAACATGATGGAGCTTTTAAATTACCATTTAAGTGACTTGTACTGCTAGAGAACTTTTTTCAGGGACTGTAAGAACATCACTCTCAGAGGCAATGGCACTGCCAGCATTGATGACATGAGGCAAGGTAGACCTGTGAAAGCTGTAAGGCGGAGGATTTTTTGAAGTAGGATCTGCTTTTTTGAGTTGTCCAGTGTGGTTTGGGAAAGGGGTCAATTTGTACTAATTTAAGTACGCCATAGGTACAGAATGCACACATTGGTATACTGTTCATCATTGAACCTGCAAATGTACTAATACACTGCAATTTTCTTTCCTACAGGTAGGTCAGCAAGGACAAGTGCCAAATACAGGAAGAAAGGAAGTCATTTTGTCAGGTAAGGAAAAAGAAGCACATTTGAGCTTTATGGAGTTAAGAATGATAATTGCAGTTTATTGCACTGAGAGAGACTGAAAATGTCTATTTTACCACTTGTGGTGTCAGGAAAATACTGATGAAATTATCACAATAAGCAATGAAACAGTCACATATTAACTATTGTCTACTGAAATATCTTTTTTTGCTAATGATTGGAGTAATATCACACAAGATAACTAGTAATGAAGGAGTTATCATATTCCTATTGAAAAAACAGTGTTATGGTCTTTTTTCACTTCTCAAAAGTTCACATTGAACACATGATCTGAACTATTACACCTGTTTTCAAAATAAAAAATACTACATAAAACCAATATGTATTAAAATATGAATCTTAAAGTCATATTTTGATATGTTAGAAACTTGAGAGCTGATGGAACTATTCAACTGAAATATCAACACTTCAACAGCAAATATCAGTCAGAAGTTGAATTGTTTCAGAAACGATAAACATAATAAAAATCCTTGTGATGAAAAGTTAATTTGATGGAACTCATACAACATGCATAGAATGGAAAAGCTTGAATAATCCTATATTACTTCTCAGAGAAAACTGATTTTATTTTTTTTCCCCAAGCAAACAGAGGAGGCCATGTTTTTCTATGGGAGTGATAACACAAAATAAAAACCCAGAAAAATATCAAGGTCACTGTAACTGAAGTTTCTTATAAGTAATAAAAATGCCTCCAAGCTGGAAGTATTTTGAAGGGCCTTTTCATAAGACTGTATTTGTTCTTGTGTCAATACAAGAGTTGCTTAACAGCTGGGGTGGAGTATTTTGGAAAAGTATCAATTTATGACTGCAAGTTACTGGGATTTATACTTCAGTCTGACAAGGAAGCCACCTGGGGCTTATGGAAAGCTCCACCGTTCCAGACGAGGAAGAGGATTAATTTCAATGTTGAAATTTTAACCCAATTTGAATCATTTTGGTTTGGTTTTGATCTATTTTAGGGGAAGAAAAATATGTAACCATTTCCAGAAAACATTAATGAAAGAAGGTGACTACTTACTGAAGAAATACTGAAGTTGTGTTTGTAATTCAAAGAATGAAGCTTTCCCTCCCAGTGTGGAAAATATAGTCATAGCAGAAGCGTATGTTAGCACAAAGGTGCAAAACTGTTTCACTTCTTTGGATAATCCTCCATGCAATTGTGGGTTTTGTGCAGGAAGTAGGAGTAATATAATAAAACCTTTTCTTAGCAGCAGAAGATTAGTGAATGAAGCAGATTCATTGCAAACAATTTACTTTTTCTTAAATACATTAGCACCAATTGCTGATGTACTGTTGCAGTCCATCCAGATGGCTGAAGCAGGCTTAATTTATTTATGTTTTTTTTAGAAATTGTGCCAAGATTTTCATAAAGTAAATTAAATCCTGGAGATGTTCCAGAAGGCAATCAAAGTTTGGCTATGTGACCATCAGCAACAATAGTGGTGAATATAAAGTGAGTTAACATAGTAGAAATGATATCCCTTTATTTACAGGGTTGGAAGAGAATGTTATTTGAAAATAGTCTTGTTCTGTAGATTCTAAAAACAAACAAAAAAACCTTCGTAGTAGTTTAGTGTATATCATTTATGTTCCTTGAACTCACATTCTGACTTCATTTCAACCAAATGGAATCCACGTTAATAACACTGAGATCATATCAAGATGTTAACCATTGTGTATTCTATACTGGGAATGATGAAGGAGGCATACTCCTTGTCATCAGGATGGAAACATGGACACAATAGTAAACAGAACATGCTGGTATCTGTGGTGCCCTAGACACCTCTTTCCATAGTTAAAACCATCCGCGGAAAATGCAGTTGATAAGTACAAATCTGTCAACAGTTTGGATATTTAACGCTAGATGTTAGCCAGTTGTTTTAAAATGCTGAACCTGTTGTCACAGCAGTTTAAGTAAAAGCATTGCTTGTTCTGGATATGCTTGTTTTGATTTAAAAACAAATAATATTGACAAGTTATCTTCCTTAAACAAACAAATCTAGCACTGAGGGGCATTTGTGCACAGATAATTCACATTTCTGAAACTATTCCAGTGAATCAAGTCTCCATGCTTAGTAGCTATTTTTGTTAGTATATTTAGCTTGTTATGGGGTTAATTCCTTTTTTATTGGAAGAAGGCTTCTTAATGGGTGCTGTAGAGCTGCATGGAGGTGGTCTGGCCATAGATGCTTAAGGATATTTTAATACAAAAATAAATGCTTTTTTTTTTTTTTTTTAACAACTGTTACACGTTTGGTAAGGTTCGTCCTTCTTGGGACAGTGTGGTGGTTCTCAAATAGAGTTTTGCAATAGTACCAGAGGAAGAATGTTCTCTCTGGTGATATGGATGTATTTTATATTCTGATACTCATTCAAGAATTTGTACTGGAGAAACCTGTAAGGAAAGTAATCTGTTCAAGTAGAGCATATCAGACTAGTTTTAGTACGTATAAAATGTATTAATCACCTTGTTTTCTGTTGATTAGGTGATGATAATTACTCCTTTGCTAGTTATACTGTATATATATTTTAAAAAAAAACCACAACCCAACAACCAAACAACTTGCCTTTGCATGGCATACTCAGTCCTGTCTGCCATGTAGAATCCTATATTGAAAACAAAGCTTGAAACGTTTATCTCTTGGAATCAGAAAGCATTCCTTTGATGTGGTTATGTTTTCATTAACATCACAAAATACAGCTATAGCATGATCGTATTTTAGTGATACTGTTTTTTTACTCAAGTAATGCTGTATATTCAGCTGAATGTAGAACTCTAATAGTCTAGACTGTAGTCAAATTTTCATCCCTCTCCACCTCTTGCACTCTTTGGTTAGCTCACTCATGGCTGACATGTTGGTTTGGTATTTCAAAAAGTAAAACTGGAATTCTGTGCAAAACTAAAATGAAGTATCTGTTATCTACATTGAATGAAATTAACAATTCAAGTCTGTTTTTAGAAAAATTTTGCATGATTAATTTTGAAGAAGAACGATTACCATTGTCTAAAAATTGCAGCATGACATTTGAAGTTGCTGCTTTTTCAGTACAAAAAATATTTTATTTCAATACCCTTAATGCATTATGGCATGCACAGAAGATAGAAACTGCTACTTTTAATCTGCTTCTATTAACTCAATACTGAGAATACAGAATCTAACTGTAAAAACTTATTTGCTTAGTAAACAAGAGATTTTTACTCAAGAGCCTCAGCTTAGACTGCAAAGAACTTGTCAGTGTTGATTGTGTTCAGCGATTTCTACCCTAGGTAAACCTAACTGAAAATGAGGATGTGAGATTGTTACCTCAGCCATGTGGTTTTTCTGTAGAAATTTCACATATGATGGATTAGATTTAATATGAGGGGCTGGAAAAACTAGTATGTTTGCTAACACCAATGATCTTGTTGACAGCAAGTTGGGGGAGGAAAACTGGATGAGCACTGACAGTGTCACCTCATTAGGTGCCTGATACTGTGCTGGGGGATAGGGTCACAGGAACATGTGTGGTGCTGGGGGGCAGGAAGGGATGCAAGTGAAGAAGTGAAAGTAATTAGGAGATTGAGCAGTTGCTTTGACGACTGTGGATTTTATTGCCATTTGCATACATTTGACTTCTGTCATTTCAGAATATAAACAGAATATGATAATAGAGAATTGGAGTGTGTTCCTACTGTGGGGCACGGAGCACGGTCAAAAAGCAAAGTGACTTGAATTGTGCAAATTATACAATAATTTTGAGAAATGCATCATGACAGAACTATCAAAAAACAATAATTGAAGAACAGAGACCAGGGAAAAGGTCATAACTGTATTCTTAACTGTATGAAGTTGTCAAACAGTAGAATAACTTAATTTTAATGAAGCAATAAGACTTCACAGACGGTGATGAACAGTCAAGTAAATAATGTCAATTTAATAAGGTTCTAAAGGTTGCAGAGCTTGTTGTAAAGCTTGATTTTGCTCATCACTGTATAGGACATAATGTGTTAGTAATAATGTTGTGTCCTGGAGTATACTAATTATGTAATGATAGAATAGAAATCCTATACTATACAAAAGCAGCTGTGATACCTGAATTTTGTATCTCTTGCCTACAATGTGATTTAGAAAAAAAACAAAGGCAAAACAGACATTGAACTGTAAATTGAAGGAACAGCACACCACTGGTTTTTACTCAGAGGCAGGATGCGGTCCTCTATTCAGCATGTTGAGGCACTGTCAGAATACTGTGTTGTTTTAGGTGAGGAAAGGCCTTCAAGATTTGAAGTTTTTTCCAAGTGGGATGATGACGTGAAAGGAAAACTGCATGAAACATTAGTAAACAGGTATGTTTGTTCCTTTAACTTACATTTTCTGCCAGTGCTTGAATGTGATTATGTATGTACAATGCCATGTTTCCATACTAATACATCATTATTATCGTTTTGATACTCTGTATAGAAGAATAAACTTCAGTCTGAAGTTAAAGCTCTTTCACCTTCTAATTGTCCACATTTTTTGCATAGGCAGCATTTTAGTCTAGAATTATTATTGCCCTGTTTGTGGATTGACACTGTTTTGTTTACTTGTTTCTTTCAAGTAAGTATTGTGGTATTTCATTTCTAATTTGTTGTACCACCTCCAATGTGTTGTCATGTATCTGGAAAAGGGAACATATTTGTTTAGTTTTTCAGAGATTCTACATAAAAGACCACAAAGAACTCTCCAGTGTAGTCTTTGTGTTTAAATGTAATGACATGGTTTGGGGTTTATTTAGCTCTTATCTGCTATCAAGAACATTTGTTCTTGCTGTGTCTTTGAATACTACAGTATACTTTCATATGAAAATGCTTTTTATTTTCATGAGAGATTCAGGTGATTTATATTTTCTGCAGCATGTATGTCCTTCATTTGTTGTGTGGAAGGAAGCGTTGTGTATTTACTATATTTGCATGATGAAGAATAAAAAAGAGAAAACACACAGTTTTTAGGAGCATACATTAGAAAAGCTTCGTAATATGTTAGTCTGGAGTTTAATCAAATGTCATCTATCAGTTTGGATGAGAAGAGAAAAGCAGACACAGGAAATATATTTTTGCTCCTAATTTTCCCTCTCAAAAGTAGACGAGAAAAAAAAACCAACATCCATGTTGTCTTGGAAAAATCAGTGTGATAGAGAAGTGTTGGATCTTCTGTACTATTTTTTTTTAAATCCAAATGGTTGCAGCTGTACTGAGAGGAAACAAATGTTTTGCTGTCTTTGCTGCCAGATAGAAGATTATATTTGGAACCAGAAGACTAATGAGAAAAAATACAGTTCAGAAACATAATGATTGCAAAGTTTCAGGAATAAGAAAGGAAACCTTAAGTTTCCTTTCCTTACAAAGCATATTGGGCTCTAAAAATTTAAGTTGTATTTTTTTTAATAGAATGTCAATTCATATATAATATTGTTTCCAGATTATTCAATTTTTCGCCATGGCAGTGATCCCAATCTCCATGCTTTCTGCTGGCTATAATTTATCTGTTTAACAGTGGTAACCATCTGCTTAGAAAATCATTCACTCAAACAGGGCAGTGGAGTAGGCAGGTTGGGAGTGCTGGCCATACTGGTAGGGATAGCAGGTGCAGTGCCTCTGATGCTATTCCATATGTTTTGATGCTGGTGAACAACATTTTTTTTTTTTTAATAGAGATAAGAAAGTGAATTTTTACAGAGGCACTGCCATGCAACAGCCCCAGATGGGGCATGAGAGTCTGAATTACACGAGGATTTTGGTAGCTCAAATACTGTGCTCTTCATTAACAGGCTTTCTCTCTACCACAGCTTGCAGGATTTTCAGCAAACCTATTTGGCTGAAATTGTAGGTTTTGGCAAATTCCAAAATGAAATTATTGAAGTTCACTAACTGGGCAGTGGTATCAGTATGTGGTCTTTGTGAGAGCAGTGACAGGCATATTGGTATAGATGAGAGTTCAGGTTTTAGAATCCTGCTGGAAATTTCTAAAATAAAATTGAGATCATGCAGTAGTTTCCACATAGTTTCATGCAGTAGTTACCACAGACTTCCCTTATGTGCTCTCAGATGATTTAAATGTCACAGGATGCGTAGAAACCTGGAGCTACAGAATTGGCTTTTTAGGTAAATCTGTAAGAGGTCTGTAAGGTGAATGCATAGACCTGACATTTAGATGGACAGGTAATGTGAATTAAGAAAAGTTTGCCGAGCACATAGAACAAGCAGTGTGGGCAGCCAGAAGAGAGGAAGTTGGGTGTGGACTGTACAGAACAGGGAAATGTTGCTATAGTCTGTCACCAAGGCGATTCTTGTAAATAAGAAGAAAACAATGAATATAAACAGAAAAAGGTTAGAAAAACGTAATGGTAAAGGCCTCTAGTTCAAGCACTGGTTTCACTGCCTATGTTCTTCATGCCCTGTTACTGTGAGTCTAATTATTCCATTAATAAATGTAAACAGACTGGCAATAAAGTTAATCAGATTCTGGCAATATTTAGAGAAGATACTAGGGGACTTTTTTTTTTTTTTTTTTTTTTTAGCAAGTGAATATCAATAATTTCATGTATATATTACAATTTGGGGCTTTTTAACTATGAATCTACATTAAATAATTGTCTAGTTGATTAGTATTTTCCCTCTGAAACGAGTGTACCTGCATGCCATCTATGGAAAGGTTATACTCTATTACAGTGTTACTGGCAATCCAAAATGTTATTCTGTTTTCATTTTGATTTTTGTCTTCTGTCACTTTCTAACATATTTCAGAATTTCTTTGAAATAATTTGTAAATGTTCCAAATTGTCTTCATTTTGGCTGTTTGGATCACAAGGTCCAAGTAACTTGTAATATGTCAATACCTTCCTTACTTGATTGCTTCTTCTCTCTCCTCCCTGTTTTTGACCTTGACTTCTGTTGAATTATTTGGCTATCCAACATGGGCTTATGATGCCATTGAAAAGGGACATTTAACTGATGATGTCTTGAGTGGAGGAGACAGTTATTTCTGGTTGCTTTGACACTTAATCTGAAGTTGAAAAGGGGCTGGCATCAGTAAAAAAAATGACATTATCTGCAAGTTAACAGGTTGCAACTCACCAGCTGATGTCAGCTCCTCTTCGCTGCAGTGATTTCAGCCAGCACTATTCCTTTTGCATGTGGAACACACCTGGCTCGGACTTAGCTGAGTACCCGCAACCCTTCTATAACTGTGATGGTACCAAAGGTGATCACATTATTTGGTCACATTAATGGTTTTATTAGTTTTATTTTAAATGGTAAGTAGAATCTTTAGTTTCATTATGTGGAATTAATAGGTGCAGGTGGGGAAAAAAAAATCAGTACTGTATTAAGCTGCTTAGAAATAAAAACCGTGTAGTATTAAATCTTGTTAAAACAAACACAGTATCCATTTTTTATTTGTCTGTTCATCATTGAGATACGAAAAGAGGATTTATATTTTTTGGAGGTCTGCAATTGCAGCTTAGTGTGGCATAGGTGAATGGAAGTACTTTCTCAGTGCTTCTGTAAGAAACTAGTAAGATAAATGAAGAATACCATGTGACCTAAAAGAAAAAGTAAGCCTTTACAACATCAAGCAAGGACTTTGTAATCTGATTCCTTTTTATGCTGTTGAATGAATCATTAAATATCTGTGCAAATAGCAGAAACTGATTTTACAGAATTCAACCACCTGATGTGAACGTATATATTGCAACTATCTTACAATATAGTTAAGTGACAATTGTGCAAGTATTCTTCTGAGTTACTGGAACCTGGTAATAGTTAACTAAGAACACCCTGTAGTTTAGGACTGTGGTCTGTTTTTTACACTTATTAGTGAACAATGTAGGAATGAAAGCCCTTCTTGAGTAATCATATGCAACGAATAGATTGCTGATATCTTCTTTAGCAGCCTATTGCAATATGGTAAAAGTTACTGTCACCTATTACAAACTGATCTGGACAACTGACTCTGTGTTGCTTATTACACTGGTAATATCTTTAACGTTCTATACATTTGAACTACTGTTGGAAGTGCATCAGAAATTTGCTGTAGAGATCTGGAGTCCTGGTGGATAAAAGTTAATGCTGCATCTTTCTGTTGCCTACAAGCAGAGGAGAATAAAACCTTGCCAATTCAGTATCTGTGAACAAGTTGAACCATATGTGGCAGCATGCTTTTTAGGTGTGTTAGATAAAACATTTCAAAAACTATACTTCCTTTTTCAATAATGAATCCTATTTTATACCACATGTTGGATATCATGAAATGTTTATTTCCTGACATAAAATTGGATCGCCCAAAAGAAAAATGGTGAATAGAATTTGGAGACCTTTTAAAATCAGAACCTCTTCTGAGTTACAGGCATTGTGCTAGGTTTTCATTTTTGAGATAACTTCATACAAGGTGATTCAGATGCAGAAAACCTGAAGTAGCAAAGAATTGATTTTATTCACTACTTACTCAGTAGTTTGTTTCATAGTGAATTGAATACTAATTAACGATCTATTATATGTTCACACTGATTTGAACTTGCTGAATATTTTTTAATTTTAAATATGTATCATTGGCCCTACTATTACAGAGCTTTCAGTTAAATACAGTCATAACAATGCAGGTGTGTTTTATTACATCAGCTAAACAACCATAAAAGTGCAGATGTGTGTAACAGGTTTGTGATGTGACACTTGTATAGACTAAAACAAGCTATCTTTATATGAGTTAAGAGGTAATCACTAGAGCTGAGCTTTCTGATTGCCCTTCCTCCATCATTTTCTCTCCAGCTCCAGCATTTTACCAGAGTGTGCAGTGACTCACTTCCCCATTTTATTTTCTCTCACAGATGGCATCATTTCATCTCATGCTCTGAAAGTGACAAGTTACACTGTGGCACTGACTTTATTGTATTAGCCTGTGCTGGCTGTGCTGAATTTATAAACCATGGAGCAACTTTCTTTGGCTCTATCTCGCACAACAGAAGGTGAAGTAAGAAAACACTGGGAAACTAATGTAAGACTTGAGATACTCCTGATGTAACTTTGAGCATGAAGGCAGTATAAGTAAGATCTTCACTGATCACCATGTAGTAGCACTAAAAACTATTGCTGTTCTGTCGTTTTTTTCCTCCCTCCTAGCATGCCAGGGAACGCAGAGACCTGTGGCTGACTCACAGGCTGATGTTGTCATTTTGGCACACAGTCAGTAAAATGCTGCCAGTTCTGTCTTACTGCATAGGATCTGTTTGCCTGGAGCTTTTAAATCTTTTCCAGAGCTGACAGTTTTGGTGGAAAGGTAACCTAAACATCCCCAAACACTTGACTTTAAAACTGTGAGGCACAAATTACTTAATCTCTCAACAGAGTGAAAAATATTCCAAAAATCCGGTACGGAAGGATTATTGGTTTTGTTAGTGTTTATTTTTCCCCTCTGTTCTGATAGGCACTCTATTTTGTTGAAGGGGAAAAATATGCTGTGAAAGACCTTTGAACACCCCCCACACACACCCTAACCGTGCACACTATCTTCTGTGTTCCTAGATGTGTGAGATGTGAGCAGTGTGGTGCAGGTTGTAAGGAGAGAAAGCAATATTAAGACTTGCAGTAGATGGTTGATTCAGAAGAGGTTTGGTAGTGATGAAACAGATCTGCACCTGCTGAATAGGACCTCAAAATAAAGCTCACAAATGCACAGATATGTCTTTGATTTATTTTAAGACAGGCTTTTTGATCCAGGCAAGTTTTATCGGCCAATAGTCTTCAACTCCAGAGTAATTTTTGCAGTATTTTACTGCTCTTTCTACCAGTATTGCTGTCGAGTCCTGAGAGCAACATACTTTTGAGTCAGTATGAGAAATTTTGGAAATACAAAACATTATTGGTATCACTTATTTTTCTTGTATCTTTTGTAAGGACCTTACAAAAGCCTATTTTCTATCCCAAGCAGAGTGTTATTTTCATAGCTTACTTTAAGCCGAAGGGGAGATTCTGGAGGAATTCTCTGCAATGAAATTACTTTGCTGCATTAAGAATTATGGTTTGTTTTTTTTCAGTGACTTTTCAAGAGAATCATCTTTTTGGGTTGATTTGGAAGGTTGAAGGAGGAGCCAAGATAACAAAAATCTATTTCAAGTAAATAAGTGTATGTTCTTGCCTGGTGATTCCTGTAGTGGCTTTTCCTGTACATATAAATGAAAGACCTGGAGTATATTTTTTCTACTTAAAAACTTTAACAGCTATTTTCAAGGAAATAAGACAATTTTTTAAGCTTTCAACACTACATGGTGGTGAGTAGTTTATTAAGCAGGTCTCATAGGTCTCACTTAAGGATTATTTTAGCATAGGATACAGGAAAATGAGGCACCATCAATGTCAAGGTCATGTATGTTGGTGAAAACATTCCTTCAGATGCCTTCCCTTTGCTCTGATGCAGGATTTTGTTGTTCTTTGTTCTCACTGATTGTGTCTCAGGATGCATTTTTTCATGCTTCTTCTAAGACTGAGCCCTCATTAACGTTGAGACTTTAATTGCTGCTGTGAATAGCTTTCTCTCAGCCATTTTCCTTTGAGGAATTTTAATTGGAGACCTAGAACAATTGCACGTATCTTTAGTGGACATGAGAGGGAGAAAACAGAGAAAAGTAGCATGTTTGTGTATCTCCAGCTAGGATTTAACAGCCTTTATTTGCTAGTTACCTAGGAATAGTTGGATTTAAGTCTGAAAGTATTTTCTTCAGGTTGCAGTGTTTACTACAGCAGTAGATCTTCCCTGTATCTTAATGCCAGCTTCCAAAATTAGTGGAGATTGCTCTGTCACACCAAAATAAATCTGACCATGTCTTGATGTACTGATCAAACTTGACTCTAAATATGTGCCTGTTGTATACAGAATGAAGACTCAAGACCAGCAAATTCAATTTAATTTGCTTATGCTTTTTCAGAGAAAAAAACAACACAAAAAAGGCATATATTGTCAGGTAAAATTTGCATGTAAACAGGAATGCTTTTTTAAAATCATAAAAACACATAGGAAAATTATGCTTCAATACATTTACAATTGCTATCAGTTTCTTACATCGGAAGGTTTACATACGTGAGAAGAGCATTTTGTCTGAAATGAGCTTCTGTAGGAAAGGATTTTTGCTGTTTTTTAGCCTTTATCCATCTTCCAGTTTATAGGAGGTCTTTTAAAAATCAGTATTTAAATGTACCCTGCAGCAGAGCACATTTGGACCTTAGAACCTGGAATGATCTGTTTTAATCGTAGGAACACAGCAAATCCAGCATTCCTGGGCAGTGACAGAAAGATACAGTTCAGACTTCCTTAGAAATAGTAAATGGGTAAATCACAATTAATCTTTTCTAAGAGTGTGTGCAAACTGTTGCAAGACCATGAATCAAGTTTAAATTAGTTTAACCACTTGAAAGATGACTTCCATAATGTACTTCATTATCATGAATAATTCTGCCCCTTTGATTGTAAGGTGGTAGTAAATAATGAAAGAATTTAGATGGAAATTAGGCAATACTTCACTTTGTTTAATAACAGTGCCTTTGAATTTCATCCTGACCTTTAACAAAGACTTCGTATGAATGCACAACAGGTTGCATATGGGGGGAGGGCTGATTTAAGAGGGAAAAACAGAACTGTGAAGAAATGTAGTGGAGAAAATGAAAAACATTTTGTTACCTGATTACCGAGTCTTCCCTTGAACCTTTAAAGTCTTCTAAGAAACAGAAGCAAAATAAAAGATTAGGGCAAATTTTATGAGGGCCTTCTTTTGGATAACTAAAGAATTAAATGGATTTGTAAGTGAATGCTTTCCTGTATGTTTTGATGAGTCAAAAGATGTTGCACAGAGAATTAGAACAGATGTTTTTATTGTGATTTTCTGTTGATACCTCAATATTCTTCTAAAGAGGCTTTTTGTTGTACAGTAGAAGAAAAGGCCTATTCCATAAAAGTGTCATCTGGAATGTGGGGATTGTAATATACAATGTTATTGTTGATGTAATGGTTTGAATTGAAGACTTCTACAGACCAGGTGTATTTTTTATCATTAGTTTAACTCTTTCTCTCAGACTCTCCTGGACTAGAGCTTGTATATATTAATAAATAAATAAATAAATAAAATTACGGAGATGGAGAAAAAGTAGTTAGGCATTTGGAACTGTGGAATAGGCAATCACATATATATTTTTTTCCAAGGGACTCTACAAGAAATAAGTGCTTAGCATTCTGGAAACAAATGACTGTTTCAGTTAGCAAGCAGTAAGAATAAATATGCAGACTAGAACATGATGCTGAGGACATTGTGCTGCCAACAAACTCTAGTCTAATCAGGGGATTTGCCTCAAAAATGTGTTCCTCATACAAATGAAAATGATTATCTAATGAGCACAGTTTAGTCATGAACAATGTATATTTTTACTATTGTATTTTTTTTGTTTGCCTCCTCTAGTCTTTCAGATCTTTACTTTGCAAATTTGTTACCAATAGGTTCTGTGGGCGATTTCAGATAATGAACAGAAGATAAATCAAATTTCTCCTTACTTTACAGGCAAATGCAGTTGTCTGCCAGGTCAACACTGGACCAGCCAGACTCTGTGATAATAAGAACAATATGAAACAGAATTTGAATTAATGTTACCTTGCCTTTCAGTAGGTTTATTGACTTGAATGTTGTATTATGTCTTAATCAATGTGTATGTATTATGTCTTAATCAATGTGGATTCTAGTTGATTTGTAGTTGAAAGTGCTACAAAAGCAGAAAAGCTACAAAGTGCTTTTCAGACATATTCATAGGCTTGCCAATAGCAGAGCCACAGGCAAATAATGTTCTTATTGAATGAAAATAGGAGGAGATAGAGTTCCAAACTTCTAGAAAAAGCAGACCCGAGAAACTATTAGACCAACACTGTGAGAAGATAAGCAATTTCAATTTATATGTGTTATTAAGGTATTCTATTGATATACGTTATATCATTTAATACATGCTATTAAAATGCTTTTAAATGGGTAGATGAGTTCACCAATGAAAATTCTGGAACAGAGCAGTCCATTGTTTCTAAGTTAACTTGATAGTCAGGTTAGAATTTGTGGGGACTAGAGGGCAGTCTTTTAAAACTGTATTTGTTCAGTAATCATTAAATTAATTTTACCTAGATGTTATAAACAGTGGTTCAGTGCTATCACTATCACCAGGCAAAGAACTGATTATGCCAGGTCCATCAACTCACCACAGTAATCAAATTGAAACTTGTCCGCAAAGCAAGGTTATATCTAAAGCTTTTTGAAACAGGAGTTCATGGTGTGCATCTAGTTAAATCTACCTATATAACCTTGTATGGATTCCACCATTTATGAGAAAAGAGGTGTGTCGCATGGATGTTGGCTTCCCAGCTGACTTCTAAAGTAAGAAAACAGCAGTGATTCATGAACTTGGCAGGGATTCTTTCAAGTATGAGATTATTAAAAAATATGTACTACTTTAGATACTGTATTTCATACTAATATTTCAAGCATTTAGAGTTTTGTTGTTATAAATACGTTGCAGGAGAAATTAAGTTTATTAATGTAGAAAATGTCCATGTAGAAAACATACTCTTTATTGGCCCTCTTTCTTAATATATGTGTTCAAAGTTCTCATTTCACTGTTTAATTGCTTTGAACAATATGTAAAAAATAGTATTTTATGTGGCTTAGTCAACTGATTTACGAGTAAGCATTCTTTCAGCTGTAGGTATTAAAAAGTACTCAGATGAAAGAGGTAAAATGTGCAAGCCTAGCCTTTCTGTCTTTGAGGACAGAGACCAAACCTAAATGTAATAGAAGACATTGATAAAATGTTTGTTCAGTGACACATGATGGCTTTATAGCAGTCGTAGCAATAAATCCAGTGGGACAGAATTTAAAATATATTTTATCAAGTTCTTCATAATTAGATATAATCCTGAAATAAAACCAATCTATATTTGTAAATATGGATTAGAAGCATGAAAGTGCTGCTTATTGTCAACATTTAGACTGGGTAGTTTCTACACTGGCAGATCTAGTTGGAACTTTGAGATGAACCTATTCCAGTTATTTCCTTACAGTAAGTTCTTCAAAGATAAAAAGGCTTTTAAATCAGGAAAATCCGGGACATGCATTGAATATCCATTGAAATGCCTAAGTCTTTAAATGTATGTAAGATAAAGCACAACTGGAAGACATACATCTGTGTTCCCTCTGCCTCTTCTGCATCCTTTAGGGGCAGGTTCTTTCTCCCAATCATAGCTTCACTCAACTTATTATTCATTTTGAACAGGAGAAAACCACACAGCCAGGTCTGGCTGCATCTTCTGTATTCCCAAGAAGGGGAAGGTACAGTCTCCTTTTGAGCTCCTTTTGTAGTTGTCTATTTCTCAGCACTGCCCTGTGTCATGCTTCCTCTCTATATCACATAGTTCTGAGCATTCTTACTGTTTCCCAAGTCTTTCGTCTTTTCATGGTGCATAGTGCAGGCATTCAGAACAAGTCAATATGTAACGGATGATGACAGTGAAATTTTGAAGGTGCATTTTAAATTTCAGAAATGAACTTGAAACTGGACATGTTAGACAAATAGAAAAATGAGATAGATCAGTTTCTCCTCTGTGGAAACAGATACTGTCTACAGGGAGACCTTGGTCTCACTTCTTAGTAGATCTGAAACAGAAGGGAGACAAGACAAATTGGTCAGGGAGTGCTTTAGCAGAATTCTGAAATAAAAATAATGCACTGGGTGGGAGTACTTTTTGCATTGCAAATAGTTTGAAACAGTCTTAGTTTTTCGGCCAACTTTATACATAATTGTGAATCTAAGATGTTCTTGGCATGTTTCAGCTTCTGTCTTGTTAGAAGATGTTAGCTCCCTCCAAGCTGTTTTATTTTAGTCTGGTTGCTGTGACAGCCACAAGGCAAAATTCAGCTGTTCTGGGAAGAGGGTCAGGTGCTGGCCTGCTGCTATGAAAGTGGAAAGGGTGTGGGGAATTGGTCAAGTAGAATAGAGAACTGCAGGGGAAAAATAGAGAGGGGAAAATAGAACAACATAAAAGCTACAGAATTAAACTTGTGCTATGAACAGAATGAGCGCTGATTGTTGCTTGTGGAAGAGTCTCGTTGCTTCAGCAGAACTGAGCTATGGTACCCTGACCTATCCCTGTTAACAGCAGCAGCAGCACCAACCTGATGCTGTGATTGAGAAAAGGAGCCCTTTGCTCTTCTGTTACACAGCAGCAGTCTATGCCCTAGGTGCTTAATTTCAGTGCTTTCAACAGAGATGTGTATAGCATAGTGTAGAAAGTACAGAGGCTTCATCTTGGCCTACCAAAGGGTTTGGTTCTGATTTATCCTGTGGGCATATACTTTTAACTGCACATCACCAGTCGTGTTAAAAACTTAATGTCCATTACCATTAAGATGTTAGAAGACAATTGATAAACCTCTCAAATGAATGTATATAGTAAAACAAATTAAAATGAGTTCTATGAATTCAGTTAAAGTGTTTTTTATCTTTAAATGTAAAAGCTCTTATTGTACTTTTTTTTTTTAATACTTTGTGTTCTACTATTTCATGTACTTCATCTGTACAACACGGTTCTGTGTTAGGGTGGAGGCTGGTCACAAGCAGTGTCCCTCAGTGGTCCGTCTTGAAACCAGTGTTCTTCAATGTCTTCATCAATGACATAGATGATGACATCGAGTGCACCCTCAGCAAGTTTGCAGATGAGTCCAAGCTGAGTGGTGCAATCAATACATTGCAGGGAAGGGAAGCCATCCAGAGGGACCTGGATAGGCTGAAGAAGTGACCCCCCCCTGAAAACCTGATGAGGTTCAGTAAGGTGAACTGCTGGGTACTGCTCTTGGGTTGGGGCAATCCCAGGCATTTATGCAAACTGGGTGGTTTTGCAGGACTGTTAAGCATTTTGGAAGTCTCTTTGCTTCAGGGCTGAGCTGGGAAGCTCAGGACTTGCAACACTAATGAGGAGAAAGATATGCAGTCACTACAGAGAGGAATCCTCTCTCTCCCCTCCAAAAAAAAAATTGCAGCTTTCTCATTAAGTAGCATGGCAAGAACACAGACACACGATTAAATGAGCAGGTAACAAATTAAAAATTTTCTCTAACCAATTCTAGTCTGCTAGCACTGCAAAACTGTATGTTCTACCTTCCCAGCTCTTCTTGTACTCTGTGTGTCTGTGAATATCCCAGTGTTCTTAGGTGTGCTACTGACTGGTGCAATGTGTTCTCCTCCACTGGGAGTGTGTGGCTGGCCACTTGGCATTTGTAATGTGCCCAGGACTACAAATAGACTTGTACATTAAGAGTGATGTAATTCAATGCCATAATAGTTGTTGTTGCTTTAAACATTAAGGAGCATTGTATTGTAATTGAACATAATAGTGTGAAAAGTAACAGAATTGTAAATTAGTAATAGCCATGTATATATTAGCTTGTTGGTTACTAATAATTATATTCATTTTTTAATAGTGTGTTGCTTAATAAATATCATTATCTCTTAAGTTAATTTTGACTTGGCCCGCAATTCAGGAAGTGGAAATAGGGCCACATGGGCTTCAGCTAGGTCTCAAAGGATGAATCTTTGCAGAGCAATGAAGATCATAGGTCTCTGTAAGCAAATGAAAGTGTTAGTAAATAAGAAAGATTAAAAACAGTGTGTTTGTTAAAGTCTCCAAAAAATTATAAATAATCATGAGTTTATAGTGGTCAGTGGGAACTGGCTTTGGAAAGCAGATGTTCCAGTTTTGGAGAATACAGTGTCTCTGTGTTGATGTTAACATAGCAACCATTCCCAAGTCACAACAATGAAGAATTGTATTTGCACTGTTTTCCAAATTTTGCATCAGTATCTTAGCAAATATTTATTGCAAATGTTTCATATAAAATTAACTGTTTTCATTCTGATAAATCTGAGAATTCCATTAGCAGCAATTCTTGTAAATATTTTGCTTCCGAGTACGTACATAATCAGAAAACAACTGGGCTGAGGGAAACTTGGGAGGTCATCTAATCCTTTGAACTGCTCCATGAATCTTTATCTCTTCTTGATAGCTTTGGGTGAAATATTTTCAAAATTGCAGTAAGTAGCATGTTCCAGATCTTCCCTCCTTTCTTGTCTTCTGATTAATTTAACTGGCAGCCTTGAAAAGTCACCATTCTTGTCCTATTCAGTAGATGCAGAATTCATGTCTTCCTTTTATATTTGCAGTAGATTTTCTTACTGTTTACTAATATGCATTTTCAATTGCTGGATGCCCATAGTAGACAAACAGTGGGTTTTTTTCTTGTCTTTGTTTCTTTGTTTTACATTTTCCTCAGAAACTGTTTCCTAAAGCTCTTCATTTTGTTGGTCTGCTTGTGAGGTATAACCTTATGCCAATTCTGGAACTATTCAGGGAAGTGGAAGACTTGCCTCATGAGGCATTCATATTTATATCTTGTTGAATATGAACATTTTTTTCGCACTTCATGTGTTAATTTCGTGTATTTATTTCTCATCACCTTCCAGTTCTCATTTTGAATTAGTTTTTCTGATTATCCTTATTGATTTGTACTGCTCTATCCTGTTTTTTTCATTACAGTCTACTCCTGCAGCACTTCTCCCATGTGTGCAGTACACTGCCAAGCCTTGCCCCTCTCTTCCCCCCCCCCCCTTTCTGTGTGAGAAGATGCAACTTGAGTACTTACCTGTTAATTGTAACCACTAAATGGAAATGATGGAAGTAGAGATTATATGGATTGTGCAAGGGGCACAAGGGGCACAAGAGGCAGAGGAAAAAGTCTTAAAAAGATATAAATATTATCAACCTTCTTCAATGAGGACAGAAGTCATTGTGAATTAGTGCATTACTGCATTATATGATTATTATCTCATAAGAGAAAGGTTGAGGGATTAGATTAGAAAGCTGATTGATATGTATAAAGCTCCAAGATTTCTGTTTATTCTTTAAGATTGGTACAAGTGAAAATTTGCTGAGTTAGAATGCTTAGGAACAGTGGCAATGGCACTGGCAGGAGTGTAGCTAGCCTAAACAATAAAAAAATAATCTGTCTTTCTTTATGGTGTGCAAAGCAATAACCTTTTGTTCAGACCGATTAATAATCGAAGCAGAGCTGGGGCATTTAATTGATCTCTAAAACACTTTGTTGTGAGTGTAATACAAAGTAGTAGACATTAGGAAAAATAATGATAGTGGTATTAACAGAAAAGAGGAGACTTTCCATTCATGATGTGAAAAATGTTGAGCTGAGGGGGTTTTTTGTTGTGGTGGTGTTGTTTTGGTCCAGCTTTCTGTTGTACGCAAACAAGTGTCAACTCTTGCAGGAGTGTATTTTGTGTTAACTGTTCATGCAGAATTTGAATATGATGCTGTGCTTCTGTGCATAAAACATTATAGCCATTAATATAAAGGTCATTGGAGAACATTGATGTTACTTCATCATAAAAGAACAAACATCTCAAAATTTTTAAAGAACACTTTATATGAATAACTGGCTTCTTAGGGTGGTCTGATTTGCGTATCAGACTGGACAGATTATCTATTCTATCATAAATGGAACGCAGTGAAGTAAGGAGCAGAATTTCAAGCACTCCAGACATATATTTATTGACTAGCACTAAGAGACTATTTGGTTCATGCGCTGCCTTGATTACAGATCCTTACCATTTCATGATGTATTGATTAAAGAGTCCATGTATTGAACATCGGCTTCTGTGTTGTACTCTACAGTCAGCTAAAACAGACTGAACAAGACTTGACAAAAAAAAAATATATATATATATATCTTGACATGTGAAAATTGCATTTCCTGTAGAAAGGTTTCTTAAAGCTGGAAGTGTCTTTGAATTAGGGCAATCAGTTCTTCAATAAAAGACCATAGTTCCTCTTTTGTTCTCTGGCATTGTAATTCGTTCAAGGATCCTGTCAACACCCCCTTTCAGAAACTGCATAAACTTGTTAAGGTTTGTGGGATAAAAATCAATACGAGTTGCCTTTACTCATAAGTTTAAGTTCACAGCTGAGGTTTCCTCCAAGAAAAGTTTCAGTACTGAAAAAAAAAAAAAAAGCAGACATCAGTTTCTTTATGGTTCCCAACTGAAAACAATCACTAGTACTGCTAGAAGGGACCATTTTTGGCCTACATCTTTTGCTCTGGATAGTTTTAGTTGCCCACCATTTGTAGTAACTGACCAAAATATAAGGACGTGTCCCAGCTGTGACAGGACAGTAAGATATCAAGGGAGTAAGTGCAACACTTGAAATGTAGACTAGATGGGAAGCATGGTCTCCCAAAAGAGATCTGTCAAGATTCATTGCAGGTTCTATTCCTTACTTTACTTCTTTAATTTCCTGCATCATTTACCCAGTATCCTCTGTGGCAGAACTGCTCTGCACATCACTGCTTCCCTTTATGTTTATTAATAAATTGTGGTTTCACCTATACAGGATTTTTTCCAGGTAGTGGTGAATATAATCTATCTGGGTTGCAGATATAAACTCGAGTCAGCTCCTGCATCTTTTAATAAGAAACCAAAACCTGTGAATAATTCATGGGAAAAAAGCCTGTCATTCAAATGACAGCTTTTTCCCATGGCTATAATTTTGTTTAATTTTAAACTTTACATACTTTATGTTAACATTTTCTGGCTTCTCTCTGGAACTTTCTTTATGCATACCAAACTCTATCACTTCAAAGAACTTTTGAGCCACACGTAGTTTGATAGTGTAAGGTGGGAAAAATGTGAGAGAACATTATTTCATGTATTTCTTTTGCCAATGATTCCTTAATCTAATGGAGATGGTTTTATATTACCTGTAATACTGAGATTGTTCTATATTACAGTTATTATTTCCTTAGTTTTAGAAAATGGGTTCGATTAGTCTTGTTCTGCATCTCTACATTCATCTAATATGAGACTGCAGGCTGTTCTTGCTGAGAAGGCTGTGTGACAGCCTAGCTGTTGAAAGTTTTTTTTCTAGAGTTTCTAAACACTCTAAATCTAGAGAAAAAGTATATAAATTAATTGCAGAAACAAAATATAAATGTCTGCTGCCTTGCAATTTAAGTAGCATTGAGAGTCATTCAAGTAAGGAGAAAGATCTAAATTACTTATCAGTCAGCTGTTTGAGCCACCCAGAAACAGACCCTCTTCAAATTTGTCAGTGAATAGATAAGATCCTAAACTGATTCTGAGCATCTCTGCATTTTTAAATAAAGAGCGTGTTCAACTTTTTTTCTGGTCCTTTGTCTTCTCTGATGTATCCAGTTACTGGATGTTTAAAACTGAATAAATCTATGAGTACTATGAGTACTGGCCAGTACATTCTCTTCTGGTATATTGATAAACATCTACCAGAATTGGAGGAGAGAAAAAAATTGACTTCAGTGCAAATGAAAATAAAGTCAGAAAGATGGGTCCTCAAGTAACAGCGAAGTAGAAGAAAGTTATGGAGTTGGTTTAAAATACAGAGAGAGGTTGTTTATGAACTGTTTGGAAGCTTATATCTATGTTAATGTAGCAAAGCTATTTTGAAAGCCTTTCACTGCTTAAATCCTGTCTCCCAGAAGAGAGGAAAGCAGAGCTCTGAAGCTGATTCATAAACTTAGGAGAGAGTATTGGACATACAAAAAAGAATTATATTCCACATCAAAATTCAGAGCTTTGTATATTAAGCCTAAGCATAAAACATGAAATTTTATTATAAAGTTATGAACTGGAACAAGTTTACTGTCTAAATCAGTGGTATGACTTTTTTTTTTTTTAGGATGCTCTTGAAAATTTACTCATACACATTGAGCTAAAGAAACATGTTTTCCTGCTGATCTAAAGTCCTTTTAAACACCTTAGAGG